CTACTAGTAACAAGTGCCTTACTAGTAGTAACAAGAAGCTACTAGTAGATCTTTCATGGTGTTTCAATTATTCGGCTCCCTGAAATTTGAGTTGCTGATCCAATCTGTGTTTGGGCTCAACAAAACGGAGGTGCCTGTGAACTCAGTTCGACCCATTCCTAGCATTGAAGCCCAAACAAGAATGGGTGTTTGTGTCTCATAATTTTGCTAGCGACCCTTTTTTTCGCTGAATTCGTTAAGGGAGGTGGAACCATCAAGTTGGAAACGCGGACATGGACCTGAACAAGGAGGAGACGTTTCCAACGCAGAGATTTACGGAGTTCCGAGCACCACAGACCCGAAAAGGACCATTCGAAAGACCCAAAGCATACCGGCAGAACGGGGTAAGCGCCCATGACTGAGGAAGAGCAGGGCAGGAATTTGGAGTTCGGATATTTTAAACAGCGGCGGCAGCTCATTGAACGGATGCACTGTTCCATCAATGCTCCGAGTTGTGTGTTTCCTGTAAAGGTTTTGATTGGGGGATCCCACAAAGACCCCAAGACTTTTATAACCCGAAAAAGAGTGTCCCTCTTCTCCGGAGTACAAAACACATGGACTCGTCGGATTGTGATCTTGGGGTCTGGCAGGCAGAGGATGACATAACGCTACGTCAAATGCCAGAAAATCTCCTTAAGCAAGGGATTCACAGCGAAGGACCATGCGCGCTTGCGAGGAATACGAGTTTACACTCAACCCTTTAAGCATCTTGAAACAAAACATATGTATGAACAAGAGCGCCAAACACCAAAAGAAACCAAGACAACTCTATATACAAATATATGAGACACTGCGTTCGCGCCTGGGCGTTGGACCTGGCACCGGAATGCTTCCCCGCACCCCCGCATCTGCGGAACCTTCAGCGTCGGAGGTGCGCTTCATGGTGGATCCACCAGATGCTGAGCCAGTGCTCCTGACCTTGGCCGAGCTCCTTGAGCCAAACGCGATGAAAATCAGGGGAGCCAGATGCATTGAAAAGGTGTCCAGACTTCTAGGTATGCTGTAGACATGGTCAAAAAAGGCCAAAAAGCTTGACCCCTGAAAACAAACTTTTTTCAGAAGCTCAACTCAAAATGCATCATCTTACAAAAACACTCCATTCTGGCACATGTTGGATCAGAATGGAACATATCCATTTATCACAGCCTGGTTGGCTGTTGGGTACCCCGGGTACCCCGGTCATGTCTCTGAACTGGTAGCATCACCTGCAACAAAATACACATATGTGGTCTTCCATGGGGTCCCCACGGGGAGGATGCCGACAGTGTGGGGCCTGATTTCTGGGACCTCTCCAGAAGATGGCCTGAGGTGTGGCAGAGATGCCCCTGATGACCCGATGTGTTATGAACGTTCAAGAGGAAAACAGGTGTTTTGATGAATGGCATAGTTGAGTGATTCTTGAGTTCTTGACACAATTTGAAGAGTAAAGTTTGGAGGCAGAACAAATCATGTTCGATGAATATGTTTTATGATGTGCATTCATGTAGAACATGCTTCAGACTAGGATTGGCTCAATCCTTGCATTGGGTATACAAAACCAATTCAGGAAAAGGATCCAGCTTTCGCCACAATAAAGCAGCTTTTGGAGGATGTACCAGTTGGGCGAGGAACACCGGATGGACGGGGCCAACGAAAACCGGTTCTTTCCACCCACAATCGATACAGCTGGTTTTTGTGTGAAACGACACCTTCTTCTCGATAATAATCAGCACTCTCAACATCCCTGACCTCTATATGTGTGGGTCTTTTGAGTTTGCAGGTTTATCATATATGGAGTGGGGGCCTTGGGGCTGGATGTGTTTGCTTTCTCCAAAGCTTCGGGCCTCTCCAGCGTATTCATACCATCCTTTCGTGTCATTGTTGGGCTCTTGAAGGCCATGGCTTAGAGAATTGGAGACAATGCGGTTGTGTTCATCAAATTTTGCGAAGTTCACTCTCACCCGTTTGAATTACCTCTTGAGCACAGTTTTGGGTTCGAGCTCAAGTGTAGGTTCTAATTCCCACGTCCAACATTAGCGAACGCTACTGACACAACGAAGATGAGTTCGGAGATTGCGCTCAACATAGCTCAACAGCCGTATTGGATGGGAAGTTGACTTGGCTTATCTCTCTCACATCCTTCTTCCAGGAAAACACCATGCTTTTCTTGGTCACCATGCTTTCCAGCACTGGATCACCACCGGCTTTTTTGGCCACGGGATCGGGATACCTTTTGGATCAGCTCTTGGATGGGCACAAGATCACCTCGACCCCAAAGAGGAGTCCCGTGGGGGGGTCACCAGTAGCTCCTTGCAACCTCTCCTGCCGCGGAATTTTCAATTCAAGGCCAAGGCTAAGTCACTCCCAACCACAGACAGGCCCCAGATCCGTGGCATTCCATGGATACACCTTGGATATGTTGGGGTTAGTTGGAAGAAGGAGTCCATGTAGCCAGATTGTTTTGGTTGGTCCCAGAGTGTGGCGTCCAAGACTTAGGAGGAACATCTCCAAGACTCAGGAGTGTCCCAAGTGGCACAACCGGGGAGAGTCCGTTGTCCCATCGAGGTTGGGCCGGCGACATCAACAGAAGTTTGAAGCGCGAGGTGTACACTACTGAGTCATCAAAGGCGAGGAACGTCGCACGTTTTTGGAAGAAGGAAAATGGACTCCGATCCTTTCACTGGGGATCTTCCTATTGAAATACACGCCCGCATCATCCCATATCAGATTTTTTCCCGAATGCGTAGCGAAGGGTTCTCGTTTAACTCTGGGGGTCTGGGGGTAGAGTCTTGTTCGCGATCCGTTGTTTCTATGTTCGCAACCGTCCGCAACCGTCCGCAACCGTTCGCAACCGTTCGCAACCGTCCGCAACCGTTCGCAGTAGGACGCTAAGGCGCTGCCATTGGGGGAAGCTTTTGCAAGTGACTTTTCATGGATGTGTCACGTGTCAGTTTGCGACGCTATTCCATTGTGATTTGCATGAAAATGACATGTCGCGCAAGAAGCGTGATGCATTTCGCTGCACAGGCGCAGTGGTTTGAGAGATCCGCAGTTTACTGCGCAGTTCCATTGGGATTAGCGTTTGGAGAGTCGTGTTTTTGGGGTGTTGGATGTGGCCGTGCCATTGGGATTTGCATTTCAGGGTGTGGCATCGAAGCTCTGTTTTCGTGACAAGTCTCAGCTGAAATGGCGATTTTGGTGGATGGGAGTGTGCTCAGAACGGGTCGAAATCATTCTAAACGTGTGGTGTGGTGCAAATTTTGTTGAAGCTCATGTGCGATGATATTCTCACTTTTCGTGGCAGGCACAGTACTTTGTGCTGATTTTGAGGTGTGGAAGTGCGATTTTCGTGGCAGGCGCAGGAAATCGTGAGGCTGCGAGGTGTGACGGAGTTGACATTTCGTGGCAGGCGCAGTACTTTGTGCGCGTTAGACGTGTGGATGCGGAAAGATTCGTGGCAGGCGCAGGGAATCGCGAGGTCGTGAGTTATGGTAGAGGTGAATGTCGCTGTCACATTGGGATTGGCGTGTGAGCGGGTGTCGTTTGGAGGGGCTGGAATCGCGAAATTGCTAGGCAGGGCTGCGTGATGTGTGTGTGCTCCGATGGGTGTTTCCGCTGGACTTTTGGAGGAAGTCTCGTACGAAACGCTCGTTTTGGAGACTTGA